CCCCAAAACCCCAAAACCCCAAAACCCCAAAACCCCTCAGAAGAATAATTTATTGTTAACAATAGAACAAATTTCTAAAATTTCATCATGAATTCCCAAAAGCTTAAGTCAAAGTACAAAAACTCAAGCGAGAAGTTCAGAAATCTCATAAAGTAAGCACAGGTTCACACTGCTTGCTGGTTTCAGGAAGTATCCACCCTGAGATCTCTTGAAAGGGGCCCTAGGGTCTCTCCTGGCAAGAACTATGTGAATGGGCTGATTTTGGGCAATTTTTGAGGTTTTGGGGTTGAGAGGGGTTCATAGGGGTTTAGGCTAAGCAGAGAAATCATTAAATAGCCAGAATGAAGAGGAAAGTAGGAAGAGAATGAACCTAGAGCAGTGTAAGAGTGATGGTTTTTGGGGTTATGTGTTTTAGTTGGGGATAAGTGTTGTGGATTTTAACAGAATTTATGATAAAACATACATTTAAGGTTAATTATGGATATTTAGGAAATAAAATAAGCTTTTATAAGCCGAATCCAGAAGTAGCCCGCAAACTTGATCCAAATACTCTGGATTATCAGATAAGTTATAAATTTGCACTCAGAAAGAAGAGGTCAAAATCAGCTTCTAGGATGCGAGCTAGCACGAACCAGAAGAGCTCTCTGAGAGTTTCTCAGCTATCTATAGAAAACCTTTCACAAAATAACAGAGAAGGGTAAAGGATCCCTTGGTCCATTTGGAACTATTACTGTTGAAAAATCTAATCCTAAATTTTTGAAAATAAAACCTGAAAAGATTAAAGAAGATTCCAAAAAGAAGCCTAAGAATCTGAATAAATCTCAGATGCATCAAAGTAGGAGCTGAAAAATATATTTTACAGCTAATAACGATACATAGGTACCTCACAAGTCAGAAAATTAATAATGCAAAAAGTTAAGGATAAATTTTTTGAAGAGAGAAAGAAAAGGGATTTGAATAAAATATCCGGATTTCTCAGCATCAAGATTGACCCAAAACAGCCTCAAAAGCTGATGTTCAAGCCAAAGACCAGTAAAAAGTAAGAAACATGAGTAAACATCACAGTGGAAAGAGTAAGAAACTTTTCGGAAACAAATCAAAAAGTGGTCTAAATAAAATCAAAGAAGAAACTGTTAAGACCTTTAAAATATTTAACAATAAAACAAGATCTAGTTGAAGTAATTTTTCTTCTAAAAATAGGTCCTAATCAAAGATTGACAATGAAAAAGTTGAAGAAACTGACCAGAAACCTCATCGTGCTCAGAAAATCCTTAAAACCCATAAAATCAACGCTCCACGATCCCACCAGTAACCCCTATCCTCACTCCACAGATTTTTCCTTTTCAAAATCCAGCTCACTCGCTTCCCTCCCACCTCCTGACTATACCATCATCAACTCCGCCAATGCAGGCTTGGGCACCTACAAATGCTCATTTGAAAAATGACCGTATAAGACTCCTGCGAAATCTACGAATAAATTGTTCAGGCAGATTAATTGGTTAGGCTAAAGTTAGATGTGAATTTGGGGTTGTGAGTGGGATTTTGGAATTTTTAGGGGTTCAGTTTTTTAGGTTTTTATTGGGGTTTTGGGGTTTTGGGGTTTTGGGGTTTTGGGGTTTTGGGG